GCTTGCAATTCGAATTAAAGAATGACTTCTAACCACTGATCCTAAACCTGCCATGTCACACAGCCATTCTGCACACCTGTTGTGAATATTGTCCAAATTTTCTCTAAGTTGGTTCAATTGATTGCCTGGTCGCGGATGTGTGGCGGGACCTGCACATGTCGAAGCAACATTTCTTCAGTAAATGGTTCCATCGCCCGACCCAGTCCACTTTTGTGATACATTTACATGGGTATTCCCATCCAAATTTTGGGATGGCAAATTACCTATCTGTTGCAATAATGACATAATCAATTTTGCTGACAATTCTCAGGATAGAACTGTTCCGGATTTACTGCTAGATGTGCTTGGTGCTGCAGTAAGCTTCATCTGCCAAGCCCGTAACCACCAGATAGTGTAAAATGAAAAATTTGTTTTCCCCGCTCTAGCTGCCAATGGAAAGTTGTTACAAGTGACCAATGGACAAGACAACATGAATTAGTAGATTAGTTCAGATGGGAAACCTGTGAAACGAAGAAAAGAAACAAGTCACAAATGGTCTGATAATGTCAAATTACTGATGAATTAGTTCAAAAACGAGGATGTAAAAATTGCAGACTTTGCAGAGTGGACCCAATACATGGAACTATAGTTGATATACTTCAGCAATTGGCAAATCTTTTTGGAGTCGTTTTCAGCTACGCTTCCATGGGGGTGTGCTTATCTAGCAGAAGTGTTGTTGTCAAATGCAGGAGCTACTGTTTCAATCAAATATCACCAGACCGGGTAACAGAATGGATCAATCGAATGCCTAACATCTTGAATGAACAATTGTTATAGCAACCTGACTTACGTTTTGTATGACTATTTTGAAGAGGAAGGGGAATGTTTGTCGTCACGTTTCATGCAAACCTTGAATATTTATTTTAGATAGATGTCCTTTGAATATCACACAGACAATAATTATTAAATCCGAGTGTACGCAATCTCAGACATTTTCAGCATCCTTCAAGCCTTGCAGTGTATTTTCTAAGCGAACACCCCCACAATGGCGCGTAGCATCCGGTAGTATCGCTCGACCACTTGGTCCAAAAAAATATATAATAATAATAATTTGCGAAAGCTTTCAGGCGTTCGTGTAGCATGCTAGCATGGTACGCTTACCCATTCCGGACACCTGGTGCCGCCACTTGTACAGAGACGTAGAGTGGTTCAAGATGGTCCATACTTACACTGCTGGTGAATTGTGCGTCTCGTGGACCTGATGATATTTATCATCTTGTATTTTATTGGATAATGAATTTGTTTTCATTTTATATTATTATATATCTCCTAATGATGTTTTGCAAAAGAAACCAATAATTCGATTTCGTGGTCGTTGAAAATTTAGAAAGATAACATCACCTGGGCCCATTGTTAAATAGCGCCCTCTTACCAAGAGTTCTTCGTTAGATAACGGCTGAGGGCGCTACCATCATATAAAGCACGTCGAATAAATAACGTGGAGAAAGTTTGGTTTTCATAACAAAAATACATAACAGCTATATAAACATATCATGTGTACGCTGTGTCGGTTGTGTCATTAAACAACTGAATACCACACCATATGCTACGTGCCTTGCAGGCCATGTTGTTTGTACTTGTGGATTTGTTTGTGTTCTTATGTCATTTGACTTTCAAATTTCTCCATTTACAATTATAAAATTGGATATTGTACATTCACATTGTGTGTGTGTTTCTAGTAACCGTTAACACGTCATAAGTTACAGCGTGCCGTAATTGTGCGGTATTGCACTGGGTATTTTCATCCTACCATATTAGGAAATGCGAATTCCAAATATGGAACGCTTTCGCGCGTAAGTGTCCTCAAATAATAAAAAAACAAACGTGGCAGACCCCAGGGTTTGACCGGAATCCATACAAAGACGTTCGCACCATCTGTTCCAAACTTTTTTTATTTCGGCATTCCCGTGATGTATCCTTGGGAGGAAATGGTGTACATGAACTCATATTATGCGAATACAAACAATTAACGATGAGGGAAAACATATCCTCGTGGGAAATATGGTTGTATATGTGCAAGACATTGCAAAACATGTGATAGTGGCGTTAAACAGAAGGCGAATTACGCTCGCCATGACAAATTTCACAAGTAACATGGGCAATATTTTAGAATTATACAGTTCTATGTAGAAAATAGGGTTAGGGATGTAGAAGTTTTAGAGACAGTTCGATATAGTCTCGGTCAAAAATTATTGGTCCAAGGTATAGTTATACTCGGCATAGTTTCGGGGTTGTAGCGTTCGTAATTATTTACCAGTTAGATACTCGTGGCATGAAATAAAATACTCGGCAATACGCAAAGGTTAATAGTTTAATACTTCAAAATAGACATTACACAAATATTTATTTGTTTCGGAAATTACAAAATACATGCTTTTATGGAGAACAAAATATACGATATATATTATATATAAATATTTTTAGAATATCAGTTCAGAAAATGTTGGTATAAACATAAGGTATTTGAATTCACATCATGACGTGAGCATATATGTGTAGTCTCTCAACTCCCGTGGTAGTTGGAGCATACTCGTGACGTTGTCGTAGCAGTGCGTAGTGTTCATTTTAATAAATCGCGCCCTCTGCAACGAAGCACCGAAGTTCATAGTGAAGTTAATGTTCCTGGTCGTCCATCAATAAAAAATACTGGTTTACACAAACATATTCCAAGGGGTGACCAATTTGAAAGCTGGGAGAGGAACTGGAGAAAATTGGTCAACTATGACAGAGATTTTTTTAGTGCATTGTTTTTTTTTTCAATTTGAAGTTGCGCTTTGAACTCCTGCTGAGAGCATTATTTTCTTAACTACTGATCCTGTTTCGTTTTTTTTTTAGCCAACAGGCTTTTTTTTCAAAAAACCTCGCGCTCCTCGGAGGTTTCAAATAGGTTACCCCTAAATGCATTTACGTCATGTGTTCATCGCAAGGAGAGATTTATTGAAATGGTACTGATATTGTTTATATTGTTAACGATGAGGGCGTATTATTTTCATCGCCGTCCCAAAACAACAACAGATGGCCAAAGAATGTAGGTCGGTAAACCGCGCACAGATGACACTATATGCAATGTAAAATGAGTAGAAAATCACAAAACGCTGAACTCTATAGTCATACAAACTAAGACTAAGTTTTATATCACGGACCAGTACGAAATGGTTATTTAAATCTAATTATATGGGGACGACCACACAGAGAGGAAAACAACAACATTGAAAAAAAAACTAAACATGAGCAGTCGTATTGTAGAGATTGGTGGATATCCGTGATCAGTCAGTGATCTTTTGACCTCAAATGATAGCGCAGGTTTTCTTCTCCTTGAACGGATTGGCAGAAGTTGGTACTCCAGTGAGTAGCATATCCTCTCGGGCGTGTTCCTGGCAATACGTCTGTAGATCAGCTCCGGCCTGTGACACTTTCATACGATCGATGTTGGCTTCATGGCGAAGTTGTTCCACCGTCTTTTTCATCTGCTGCACAGTGGACTGGGACATTTTCCACACCTTTAGGAAAGAGTAAAAAAATTGTTAATTTTCAAGTCACACCTTGGTACCACCATCAGCTACCATGGATGAATATACATTTGACGTATCGTCATCGCTGTTTTAACAGTAAACTAAACCAGTGTTGTTGTTTTTTGGTTTGGTTTTGTTTTATTTTTCCATATAAATATCTATTTTATCTTTTTCCTATCTATTTTATATTTTGCAGATTTAGTTTTCCAAATCCTAAAAATTTGTAATGATCACCCCCCCCCACCGACTCACGTGATCTGTTCATTTATCGGCCAGTCTGGGTTTTCCCAGATCATATTGTTTTAGAGACAATAGCGTTAGATATGTTTCATAAACAGAAACAAGTGCAACCTGTCATTGCAAACAGACATTGCACATGTGGCTGGTTCATAATCGCTGTGCTTAATAACATATATTTTCCTTGCCTCGCAAGATCTTATGCGATTCAGAAAATTAACATGTCTCAGATATAACGATACATGCAAAAATCGCTGAATGACTTTAGAAACAAAACATCACTGAATGATTTTAGAAACCAAACATCACTGAATGACTTTGGTAACTAAACATCACTGAATGACTTTGGAAACCAAATATCACTAAATGACTTTGGAAACAAAACATCACTGAATGAATTTAGAAATCAAACATCACTGAATGACTTTGGAAACCAAATATCACTGAATGATTTCAGAAAACAAACATCACTGAATGACTTTGGAAACCAAATATCACTGAATGATTTCAGAAAAGAAACATCACTGAATGACTTTGGTAACCAAACATCACTGAATGACTTTGGAAACCAAACATCACTGAATGACTTTGGAAACCAAATATCACTGAATGACTTTAGAAACCAAATATCACTGAATGACTTTGGAAACCAAACGTCACCGAATGACTTTGGAAACCAAAAATCACTGTATGACTTTGGAAACCAAATATCACTGAATGACTTTGGTAACCAAACATCACTGAATGACTTTAGAAACCAAACACCACTGAATGAATTTAGAAACCAAATATCACTGAATGACTTTGGAAACAAAATATCACTGAATGACTTTGGAAACCAAATATCACTGAATGATTTTGGAAACCAAACATCATTAAATGACTTTGGTAACCAAACATCACTGAATGAATTTAGAAACCAAAAATCACTGAATGACTTTGGAAACCAAACATCACTGAATGACTTTGGAAACCAAATATCACTGAATGACTTTAGAAACCAAATATCACTGAATGACTTTGGAAACCAAACGTCACTGAATGACTTTGGAAACCAAAAATCACTGAATGACTTGGTAACCAACATCACTGAATGACTTTGGAAACAAAACATCACTGAATGAATTTAGAAATCAAACATCACTGAATGAATTTAGAAACCAAAAATACCCGAATGTCTTTGGAAACCAACATCACTGAATGACTTTGGAAACCAAACATCACTGAATGACTTTTGTAACCAAACATCACTGAATGACTTTAGAAACCAAATATCACTGAATAACTTTGGAAACCAAAAATCACTGAATGACTTTGGAAACCAAACATCACTGAATGAGTTTGGAAACCAAACATCACTGAATGACTTGGTAACCAACATCAATGAATGACTTTGGAAACCAAACATCACTGAATGACTTTGGAAACCAAATATCACTGAATGACTTTGGAAACCAAACATCATTAAATGACCTTGTAAACCAAAAATCACTGTATGACTTTGGAAACCAAACATCACTGAGTGACTTGGGAAACTAAACATCACTGAATGACTTTGGTAACCAACATCACTGACTGCCTTTGGTAACCGAACATCGCAGACTGACTTTGGTAACCAACATCACTGAATGCCTTTGGTAACCGAACATCGCAGACTGACTTTGGAAACCAAATATCACTGAATGACTTTGGAAACCAAATATCACTGAATGACTTTGGAAACCAAAAATCACTGAATGACTTTGGAAACCAAAAAACAATGAATGACTTTGGAAACCAAACATCACTGAATGACTTGGTAACCAACATCAATGAATGACTTTGGAAACCAAACATCACTGAATGACTTTGGAAACCAAATATCACTGAATGACTTTGGTAACCAAACATCACTGAATGACTTTGGAAACCAAACATCATTTAATGACTTTGTAAACCAAACATCACTGAATGACTTTGGAAACCAAACATCACTGCATGACTTGGGAAACCAAACATCACTTAATGACTTTGATAACCAACATCACTGAATGCCTTTGGTAACCGAACATCGCAGACTGACTTTGGAAACCAAACATCACTGACTGACTTTGAAAATCAGACATCGCTGACTATTTCGAGAAATCAGGTGGGTTTTTTTATTACTTTTGTAGATTTCAACCAGTGAAAACCTAAAACTATGTTATGTGCACTATTTACGGCGATTATTAATTTTCACACGTGTATTTATATAACCAAGCTGGGGTCAACGCACTTTCCGGGCAACGCAACGGCTGGGAAATAAATGTAGAAAATGGGTACGGCGGGTGACTTTCTTCCGTGGTTAATTAGCGAGTCTTGTAATATTTTAAAATTAAAAGCATAAAAATAACACATAGGTGAACCCCTGAGCCAGCCACAGGTTGTCATCGTGTGACGACTACGAATGGAGAATTTACTAGTACATTTTGCGTTATATAGATATTAATAATATAGTTATCGTATAGATATTAATAATAATAATGATGATGACAATTTACAAAAAATAACAATAATAATAATCGCATTTTTTTACCAGAAATCTCCCGCCGTGTTCGCAAATTTGCCGTGATCACATGAGATTGGGTCACAGAAGGCATGGTGGACTATTTTCATAGTTGGTACATGCATTTTTAATCATGCAGCAAAGACGAAACCGTAACGGTAAAATTGGCGCCAATTCCTACGCAGACGACATATGATAAATCTGCCTAGATCGCCGTGAAATCACTGCTTGATTGCATCGTCATAGCGAGACCATCAGACATGACCGGTTACCTTCGTCGCGTCTGCAATGTTCGGAAAACGTAATGAAAAATATACTGATATTTATACAAAAACGATTCTTCTACTAGTGCAAAAAAAAAAGAAAAAGAAAAAAAAAAGCAGAAATACGTTTTGATTTCTATAAATGGAAAAAAAATCCACGTCCTTGACTTTGACCTTTAGTATATTAGGGGCCCTGATTTGTTTTGAACGTAGGTCAACGGAAAGTGAGATGATAATTTTACGTGGATATTCACGAGACTAAAGGTGAGAATATATCACAATAATAACGCCTACCTGAACTGGTGTAAATCGGATGCAAAAAAATATGTAGTCGTCAGAAAATTCAGCAAAAATCGTAAAAAAAATATGTCGGTAGCAACAAGAACGCAGCTATTCTTGCCTCCCGAAGCAGATTCAAAGCAGTGACGTCATTCATTTGCATAACAATGCAGACTGGATGAGCTCAGATGAGATCTCCACTGCGAATGCCAGTATCAAAATAAATTGATTGTTTTTTGGGGAGGGGATTTTCTCGCTGAATATTTACTTCGAAGGTCAATTTTGACGTATAATTTTTACACAAAGAAAATATTGTAACTGTAGTTGTGTAATTAAAATGCATGCATGAAATAGCTGTATTAACGCGAATTGGTCACGGCTTCTGCGTAGCCGCATGATGCTGGGTTACATCGCACTGACGGTAGGAACACAAAAACATAGAACCGAAAGAAAACACTCATTCTGTCATTTTAGTTGTCAGAGAGTATGTGCATACTCTGCTGTACTACCATGACTAGTGAAGTAATCCCATTGCAACATCATCAGAACATATCGTAGAAAAAAGCCGAACGGAAAAGGCTTGGATAAATGACAGGTGATACGTATCGGGTTTCACTTGATGACCTCACAGATATACTACGTGTTTTCACCCGATGTCACGGCGCAATATCGAGACATAACGTTATGTCGTTATTGTAAGTGATAAACTTGATTGCAGAATTAACGCCGGCTTCAAAAATCTTTATTTATTTATTCCACTTTGTTACCTTTATCCATTAAAATTGTTCGCAGTATTATATTTTCTATCCATTTTTCACAACTTACGTGGAATATTTTTAATTTTGATACCTGATTCACCAGATCCACGTCGAAAATAGCGAAACTTAAAAGTGGTATTTTTAAAAAAAATCGGATGTTGTTGAACTCTGTCACCTGATTAACATACTAGTAATCAGATGTAATCCGATCCGGTCATACGGCGGTGTACCCGCAAAATCAGATATCTGAAAATCGAACGTGTTTAATGTTATCAGATTAATCTGAGCAGATTTATCTTATCATGTAAAGGCATATTTTTCCATCAAATAATTCGGATGTAGTTTGGTCAGATAAAGCTAATTAGTTAAATTTGAACGTTCGGCGAGTTTATATATAGTACTAAATAGCGCCCTCGACGGCTCAAATATTCATAGAAATTGTGAAAGTTAACAATTGAGGGCGCTGAATGATAACATTTTTCGATTACGGTATAACTGGCGAACGGCCCAAAATTTAAAGGACTTTCATCTGAGCCTTGGAGAAAATATAACTTTAAAACCATATGCAAGTACAGACTCCTTTTTTAATTTTGCTTCTGTTTTCTTGTTTGCATCTAGGCCCCGTACTATGGATACTAATACAATGTTGTTTTCCGTCGAAAACTAATAAGGGTTAATAAGGGTTAAAAGGTAATAAATATTTGATAACAAAATGACAAATAAAATGGTCCATTGCCAATAACAACAAATTTCAATTTTGTACGGACACGGTCACGGACGCTTGATACAGGAATGTGAATAAAATAATATAATAAATAAAATCGTATTTCATTTATTATATTATGTCTGTATTTTTCCATCACCTTTCTTCTTCATTTATAACATTCAAGTTACACTGCCCCTATCTATGATAATTAAATGAAATGGCAAATATGGGCAATACGTCCCTGAGTATATATATATGCAGACTAGGTATCATTTATTTTTACTCACTGAAAGATGCAACGTCGTTGTTCAATATTTGTTTTCGCCGAGGCTTTATTGCATATTTAAACCCTGTTCCCACTAATGAGAATATTCTCGTTAGTGAAATAATTATCGACAAAAAAGAGAGCTCCCCCCCCCCCCCTGTTCATTAAGAAATTGGGGGTGTATATTTGCCATCGCCTTGGTTTCAGCTAGATTTTTTTTATAGTTTTTCTTTGGGATATTTTACAAATATTATTTTTCTCCGTGCAGGTTTTTTTTTTCTGATTTAAATCGTCCCGCTTATCACTGAATAAAGCCGCATTATGATGACACAATTTTATCAGATGCAACACATTTCATACAGCATAAAATGTGATTTGCTGTGTAAATAAGAAAATGGCGTGCCTTCACAGAACTTTATCATCAATCTTAATTATCAAAAAATATTTCTCCAGCAGCTAACTAAGGGTTAAACGAAGACCATTTATAAGTCACCGTGACATTTGACAATATCACCGTTGATGGCGTACTTTATTTGAAATTAAACTGATGGACAACAAACAGCCTGGTCTCTGACATTTCTGTGTTGAAACATAACATAACATAACATAACATAACATAACATAATATAATATAATATAATATAATATAATATAATATAATATAATATAATATAATATAACATAACATAACATATAACGAAATATGGGTCATAATAAATCATATCGCACAAGTTGGACTGACTATATTTTGTGTTGTTTCCTACAACACTACGACAAAGAATTTCCGTGTTCAGCATTGAGAGGGGGCAGAAAAACAACTGATTTTAACAATAAAATAAAGAAATGTTCATCAACTCATGTAGGAACAATAACTTAAAATATAAAAAAATATGATTTTACTTGGTAAAAATATTGTATCTTTTCTCCATAAAAACGGAAGAATTTCTCAATATCGAAAAGGAAAAGTCGTATACATCAAAGATACGTATAGAGAACAGCAGGCAATGGTGCGGCAGAAATATTTATTTATGAGTGCTCAGGTGATTGGTGTGGCAGCGAGAACAGCAGAATTAATCAACGAATGTCAAGACCAGTGGCGTGGCAGCTGGAGCAGAAGGATTTTACCACGAGTGTTAAAACCAGTGGTGTGGCAGCTAGAAAAGCGGGTGAGTGGTGTGTCATAAAAAAATCTGTACGCCTATTTTTTAGGGTAAACATTTTAGAGGGAGTTACACGTTACATTCACTAAGGATGTAGTCAACCAATGCATGGGTGGGCACATTACTTTCACTAAGGGTGTGATCAACCAAGGCATGGATGG